AACTAAACAACCATTAAATACTAAGCCTGTTTGTTTGTTTGTAATTAAGTACAAAGCTACACAATTGGCTGTCTGTGCTCGAAACCCGGTTTGTAGCGTTGTAAGTCCACAGACGTACCGCTGTGCCACTGGGGGGCTAAATACTGAGTCACAAAATAAACTAAATAATAACTCTTACACTGAACAGTCTTGTATATTCAACACTCTGTGTATATTTGTCACGGCTTTTGTCTGCACCTAAACAACTTTGACAGGTAGTTATTTTGGACTGTTACGTGAATATCATCTTCAGGTCGAAATAGAACCAGTATGACTTAAAACCTACTTTTTAAAATTTCGTAGTCTACTAATTTGTTTTCGTTGTCAATAAAAATACTATGCAAATAGTTTTACCTTCATAAATATCACACTTCAATTCTATGACACTATTATGAGAAACCCTACTGGGTAAATATAAGCCACTGTTTGGGGTTAAAAGGACTCAACTGTAGAGTTGAGGTCGTATCCACGATTGAATGGTTGAGAACCCAAGATCATATCCATGGTTGAATGGGGTGAGAACCCAATATCATATCCACGGTTACGTGTGTGGGACCACAAGGCCATATCCATGATTGAATGGGTGAGAATCCTTGGTCATATGCATGGTTGAATAGATGAGATCCAAGGTTTATCCATGGGTGAATGGAAGCTAGAACTAAATACCTAGAAAAGATTTAACGAACACTCCTAATCCTATAACTATGTGGCTGCACCATGGGTCGGGAACTTTATAATTACTTTAAATAATCTGTTTTGACTGACACTTGAAATTTTGACCATTGATGTAATGATGAGTAAGACTCTTTTGAAACCAGTTTTGACTCAGCAGATCTAGATGAAATTGACTTGAACCACTTTAGCTTAGGACAAAATGCCAGTCCTGTATGGATCTGGACCATCTTCGTAAATGTTCAGATCTGTCTTTTGAAATTATGTGGAGGCATCATCGCTTTGTTTTAATATTGTTGTTCTTTTAATGTGACGACGTTTCCTGCCATATATCTAAATGATTTTATTATATAAATATTTATGCTATCGTCCTGTATATTAGAGCTGCTCGTTTACCTTAAGTCTAGAAGGTTGAAGTTTATTTCTTAATCTGTGACTCTGCATAAGGAATAAGGAAGACGTTTTAGTCCTTCAATGTAACAGAAGGAGAAGAATCCATAGGCAACTGCCTACGGTTGACAAACTAAAATTAAGAAAAGTTTTGAATCGATTATCTCACTCTCCCATTCTCTAGCGGAAAACTGTGTTCAAAGACTCAGACTTGGTAAGATAATAAAGTTAGGTCTGAAACAAGATTCTAATAAAATCACGAAATTAGACCTTAAAGAAGTACTTCATACCAAGCAGCTGAAAAGAAAAACACACGAGGAAAATTAAATTATTCTAAATCTAAACAGTCCAAGGTAGGTAGGCCTACTGGAATGAACGTTTGCTCAAAATTACGACAAACTGTTCATGTTATATATAGCTTTGTATATGTTTAGCAATGATAATGGTGTAGGGGTTCCATTAAGGACAGCATTTTAAAATTTTGCCTCATATCAGACCTGGTAATAAGATTTTCTTTTTCACAGTGACAGGTATAGAAACATTATCGATTGAAAATTGACCAAGACTGTTATTGTCCATGTTCTCAATGCTCCTGTGCCCTACTTTTTGCTTTAACCTGAAATATCTTATTTGTTTAAAGTTAAAACAAATTAAGTATCGTATTAAATTGGTTGTATTATTTCAAAGAGAAAAACTAATAGAATCCGATACATTTTCATACTGTATTATTTCTCTCAAATAAATTGGGCAAGTAGAAACTTAATATCATCATCAATCTACATCTTTTTTGTGCCACTTTTTACAGATTTGTTCCAAACGTGAAGATCCTGTTGATTATGCCAAAAATATGTGCAAGAAGCTCCAAAAATACATCAACGATCTCTCAGGTGAAGGAGTGCAAGTAAAGCATTCATCATGTAAGTTTTCAGATATCACAGTATTTGTTATGCATTGAATTGCGTATTAAATATTGTAGCGAAGGCTGCAAAATTGTCTAATTTCTGAAGCGCTGTCTGTTCACTTAATTCGTAACTAACATTTCTGATCTATATATATAGTAGAGATGGCTGATATGGATATTAATAAGTAACAACGTTTCGACCTCCTGAGGTCATTATCAGGTTAAGAAGGAGATTTGAAAAAGTGATTTTCTCCATATTTATGGTGTGTTTACAGTTCCGCTTTAAACAATTAAATAACCATTTATTCAAATAACATTAGAAAACAACTGAATAGTCCTTTCAGTAATTTATAATGATACAGCCAGGCCTATCCTTGCTGTTGTTTCAGTGTAAAGCCACACAATGGCTATCTGTGCTCTGTCCACCGCAAGGAATGGAGCCTCGAGTTTGAAACTCTAATTCCGTAAGCTTATCGTCTGCCCATGTGGGGGCTATATGCAATCCTTAGAATGCCATTAACTCTTACGGCATTTATCATACAGTTTGAGGATCATAAAGAACCTTAGATTACACTGTAAAATGAAACACCGTAAGATTAGTGAGTGTATTAATAAATTCACTCTGCCTTGCAATTCTTGATGATGAAAATAGCTACTTTATATGGATTTAAGATTTTTACTTTCCTTATGATGGCTCAGAACTCTAAAAATCGAGGTTTAATTCTTGCGGTGGATACAGTGGAGATAGTCCATTGCATAACTTTAAACTTAAGAACAACAAAAAAATAATAACAAAACTTCTGAATAAATGAAAATGACTACTGACAGAGCTCAAACAAATTAGTTTGCTTACAAAACGGTTGCTTAAACCAACCTTATAATCGAGTTTTTATTGAAAACTAGAAAACTGACATTTCTGTAATTCGAACACGTGGTCCTGTCAATCATTTCTCACATTTTTCTGTTGTCAAACTAAACAAACGATAGCTAATGAAAGTACATTTATTAACATTTGTGCTCGTCTTCTGTTCACTTTAATGATATTTTTTGTATTAGACTGAGTTTATAATTAATTCTTCGATACTGACCCTATTCTATAATATTAATCCGCATCCAGAGATTTTGTGAAATTGTGGTTATAGCTGTTTAATTCATACGTTAATTAATAGATATGTGGACGTTTCAATAACTAAAAGTCGGCGATTTTATTGAGAGATGGCAGTGTTTAACTAGGTAATTATTGTATGTGATTGATTTTTCATTTATACTAGGAATGAAACCGTACAATCTTCCGAATTTTGTCCTTCGTTGTAAATATTTATTTAACAATGCGTTTAAAGAAAAGAGATAGGGGCATTTTGTGGGTAAAATTAGGGAACTTATTCTAGTTTGTGAATTTGAGGACGATGAACCAGAAAAATTTAGGTTACCAAATCTCTCCTCTGAATGCTTCATTCATTTTCATTTAAAATTAGTACCTGTTATTAACAAGATATATTCTACATGTTGGATGGTGATATAATACCCACACAAACTGTAAATATAAATTATTAATTTTTTTCTTAGTTCCCTATAAGTTAGCAATTCAATGGTGTTTAGCAGGTCTAAAATAAATCAACAATGATAATCGTCAACCATCTTTACTACCATCCAAACGCACGATTTTCGTAATAATTTGTCATGTAAAAATATACCAATTTATGGTAAAATGTGAATTCGAGCTTCAAATACCAAAGAAAATGAAAGAAATTTATAGTAAACAGCATTTATTTGCCACGTTTTATGATAGAAGACTGCAAGTATAGTGTTTGGAAATTTTTAAACCGAATCTTTAGAATTATTGAAGGAAATTGCCTTCAAATGTTGATTCTCCATTTTGAAAACCTAGATATTTCAATTAAGTACATTCACATTCGTTGTAAAAAAACATGATTATTGACTTTTACCCCTAAATACCTTCACCCGTCATAATTCCTGATTTTTGTTATTATTACAAATACTTTCGTGACTATAGTAAAGTGTGTGTGTAATAAATCAGTTGTGCTAAATATGAAATCTCTTCAGAACTGTCTACAAATAATTTCGTGATTATAATAAGGCGTGTGTAATAAATCAACGTCTTAGCTATAAAGCGTCTTAAGAACTGTCTACAAATAATTTCATATAATCCCCCACAGTGGCACAGCGGTATGTCTGCGGACTTACAACGCTAGAAAACGGGTTTCGATACCCGTGGTGAGGAGAGCACAGATAGTCCTTTGTGTAGCTTTGTGCTTAACTACAAACGGACTATAGTAAAGCATGTGAAATAAATTAAATGTGCTATCTATGAAGTTTTATCCAAACTGACTACAATGAGTTGGATATATTTTTTTTTTGTAGAATTCAGACGTTATTTAGTGAGATAATAACGAAGATAAAACTGTCAATAATTGGTTGTCGACACAATAATAAACTTGCTGTTTGTTTTGTTTTCAGCTACTGATGCTTGCACTTTATTCTGTAAGTTAAAGTCTACTGGCTCTTGGTATAATCCCTCGTACGAGCTAAACGACGTACAAGACGCTAGCACCAAGTTTCCCGATGGAACTTGGTGCCACAAAGAAAACGACATTGATTACTTCTGCCAGAAAGGGAAGTGCCTGCCTGCAGAAAAAAATACCCGTTCGTTATCAGAGAGACAGGCAACCAAAGGTGAACCGAAACTTGGTAACGCTCCGCCCAATGAAAATGAAATTATAGATGAGCTCCGAAAAGGCGGCAATCCAATAATTCCCGATTCTGATGACAGGGATGATGATGACGAGATCACTTTACCCATTGAGGATAATTCCGTATAAAAATCATGTTCTGTAAAATAATGTGAACTTCTGTTACTAAACGTTTTCTTGAATATTTAATAAACGATTTGCGACACTCGAAAAACTGTCAAACCTTTAGCTTTATTAGGTGAAGCCAGATACCATTATAAAGAAAACGTTTTTAACATCTAACACAATAGTCACTATACTACCTACAAGGAAGGCGGTAACAGTAGATAACAATCTATGTACAAAGACAAAATCCAGAACAATAATAGTAACTTCCAATAAGAGCAAGCCATGTACTTAGGGCGAAACTAAAATTCGAGCTTGCCATCTGTATAGTTAATTAAATATATCTTTTTTTTTTACATTTCTACTCATAAGGACAAGAGTGCACTGTTTCATCAATTGGCCGTAATCCTAATAACATCTCAAGTGGTTGGGCCAGCTTAGAAAATTTAGGTTTGTCCTAAATAAAAATTCTAAGCTAACTGTGCCATTGATCATAAACACATTTCCTGTACACTTACGTATTACCCATTCAACACACAAGTAACACCTATATTGTTGGAAATTTTTCACATCATACCACAGGTCAGTCACATGGTCCTCTAATTTCTTGTAAACGAGACACTAATATTAAACATTCGCTAGTCTCTAGTCAACTTCATAACAACTATCATGTGATATTCAAGACAGTACGTACAAATGTCAGAGGCACAGATGCAACAATTGCCATTACATTGATAACTGAACGTACGCCCTAAGTCAACCTAATCTGTAAAGAGTTATTTCACCTGTACATCTAAATGTTTAATTTATTGTATTATTTGTAATACCTGTGACCAAATCTACATAGGAGAAACCAACCGTATGCTCGCTGAACGTACACGAGAGCACTGACGTAGCATTTCGATCAAATTTAAAACTGGTTATTACAATAAGCACTTTAAAGTACTTTCCTTACGACGTGCCCCTTCCAATCTCAATCAAAGAGTCATAATCGAAAACGAAGTATTTTTCAAATTAAGTTGAATAGGTCCTTTTGGTATTAACGACCCGGTTCAACTTTTTCCAATTAAAAAAAAACAACAAAAAACTTTATTTATTGTTTTTAAAATTATTCAAGTTACTCATTTTAAAGTTTTCTTAAACATATTCTCATCAATCTTGAAAACTGATTTAAAAAGAAAAACGGTTATTTTATACACAGTTCAATAAAATAAGATTGTTACCAGTCTCCAAATTACTAAAATAATAATTTACTGTACAAGGTTAAAAAGTGGTAAAATCCCTGATGTGACTGAAAAACAATCTCATACATTCTATATGTTTCGACGTGCATTTTGCGTCATCCTCAGGAGTGTTATGATTTGCAAAATATAACGAGAAATTCCACAAATAACAACAAATATCATTTATCAGACCTGAAACTTCATCAAACGAATAATTGTCCTTAAAACTTCAAATAACGTACACGAAACATATTGTTACGACAGTGGAAGTCACGTGACGTGCGTGATGAATTTCTCGAATGATGGGGGAAGTCCGAGAGTATTCGAGATGCCCTCTTCGTTAGTATATAAGCATGGCAGAAAAGACCGCGAGATGAATGAAGAGAGAGCAGTAGTTACTTTGAGTTCCACATAATTTATGATTCTGTTAGTTTCGAGCTAGTGAGCCATAAAGTGTGTGCTTTGCACTCGTTGAGAGCGAAGTTATTGAGATTGTGAATCGCTGTGATTTATAGGGTGTATTATAAAACTTGTTAAGTTTAAAGTGACAAGAAAGGTACTGATTGTGGAACTACTGTGTACTAAAAGTTTGTATCGAGGACGAATAAACTGGTTTAATCAAGAAAGGACTTGTATCGCTGAAGATCCTCGCCAAGAATTTCTACCGGAAACAAACAAACAAGCAAATATGTAACAAATTGGTGTCAACAGAGTGGAAGGAAAAGAAAAAAAAGATGGAAATGAGAAATGGCAAATCAAACAACGACTTAGCAGATTTGATGGCAGCAGTACAAGAACAGCAAAAGAAACAAGAAGAACGAGAAAGGAAACAAGAAGAAAGAGAAAACAAACAAGAAGAGATATTACAGCAGTGGTTGGAGGAGAAAGAAAATAAACAGGAAGAGAGACTACGGCAGTGGTTGGAGGAAAAAGAAAAGAAACAAGAAGAGAGATTACAGCAGTTGTTGGAGGAAAAAAAAAGAAACAAGAAGAACGAGAAAATAAACAAGAAGAGAAACTACAGCAGTGGTTGGAGGAGAAAGAAAATAAACAACAAGAGAGACTACAGCAGTGGCTGGAGGAGAAAGGACATAAACAACAAGAGAGACTACACCAGTAGCAAGAAAACCAGCACCAGTGGCAACTGGAACAAGAAAGGAAACAAGAAGAAAATCTTCAACAGTTACAGGAAAGTCAGCAACAGTGGCAATAAGAACAAGGAGAGAGAGTACAACATCAGCATGAAGTACAAATGGAAAAAAAATTATATAGGGAGGATATGTTAGCCATGGACCTAATCAGCCCCAAACAACAAGAAGCCCCTTCCAGACCCTGCAGCTAAACCCTAATGCAGTCATATTCAGTCCTGCCATAAGTCACATTCCAGACATGAGTGTCAGCAATAGGAGTGATCTAGTACGAAGGAAGCCACAGGAATTCGATGGGAAGGCACCATGGGAATCACACTGAGCACAATTTGAGCTACTGGCAGATATGAATAAATGGACAGAGGAGCAGAAAGCCGTGTACCTCGCAACGAGCTTGGAGGGACAACCACTGGAAATACTTAGACAGTTGTCAGCAGACGACAGTTACAACTATAGAGCACTGGTAGCTGCTCTGGAAATCAGTTATGGAACTCAAAATCAGCCTGAAGTCTACAGGGCTAGGTTTAGGACTAGAGTCCATGCTAAAGGGGAGAGCCTGCAAGAGCTTGCACAGGATTTGGAAAGTATGGCACACTAGTCCTACATAACTGCACCACCGATGTCCTCAAGCTGTTTCTGAGGGATCACTTTGTAGAAGCCTTGGACAGTCCACAACTGAAGATACAAGTAAAGCAAGCACACCTCTCTACTATGCAGGATGCAATGGCCAGAGCTCTTGAATTCAAATCCTACATTAAATTCAGCACAGAGGTACCAAAGTTGGTACAGTCATCAAGATTCAAGGCCAGAAAAGGGCAGCTTTTAGAGAAGGTTGAGGGACTTTGTTGGCACTGTAACAAACCTTGGCACAAGAGAGCTCAATGGCGGCAACTTCAACACATGAAAGATGCCACGCAGGAAAGGCTGCTACCCAGAAAGGTTGTTGGAACTGTGGAGAGCAAGGGCATATGAAAAGACAGCATAAGAAGAATACTACCAATAAGTCAGCCTCGGGGAAACCAGTAGTGGTTGGCGTTGAGGGACACCCACCAACCCCCATCATACACATAGTGCCTACGTGATAGGGAAGCTGAATGGCCAAAAGTGCAACTTTGTCATAGATTCT